AGGGGTGGTATTGGATTGGGGGTTATCTCCGAGTGGCGACTTGAGAGGAGGGAGCAACGCCAGCCACTAACGAAGCGCCGCCAACGTCTTGGCGATGCTGTTTGCTGATTTTCTTGTGGGCAGCCCTCGTTGACTGGCAATACCCTTTGGGGTTGGAAGGCATTATTGGTTTTTGAAGGCATTTGGAAAGGGTATTAGTCTCTGTTAAAGAGCAACTTGCATGGAAGGAATCGTTAATAAGCCTTAAAAGGTGTGTCAGTTTAAAAAATATAAAAATTTAAAACAGTAAAGTCGCAATCCCTTTAAGCTCAAGCTGAAGCAATACAGAAATAGCTTACATTTTCCATTTCTAAAATAAGTGAAAAATAATTAATACACTCCAAAGATCTTCCATCAGAAGGGCATTTAATTTTCGCCATCTGCAACTCCTCTGAAATTTCTAGCCTTTTTTTTGGCTGTGGCTCTCTTTGGCAGGTGCAGTTTGCATTCGCTGTGTTGTTGCTCATTAGTTTTTTTCCCTGCTGCCACAGAGTCTACGTCTGTTACCATTTTGGGCTGGCTGGGAATCGGGCGCTGGATTAGCAGGTAAGGTATGGTAAGGTAAGGTAGAGTACGGCAAGGCAGCCGCCAAAAGGAAAATCGAAACGTTTTGCTGTGTGTGCAGTGTGGGAAAACTTTTATTTCAAGGTTCAAAAGACGCCCGCAGAGTGTGAAAAATGGCTAAAACAAAAAGCTAGAGCTACGGCGGAGGGTACAATATAATAGTTGCGATTTCGACCGATGGCTGCCCCCACGGCGTATGCGCAATGCCATAAATCCAATGTGACTCGGCGCGGTGTCGGTGGCCCAAAACGTATCGGAGTCAAAGTTGGTCAAATGATGTGGCCCAGAAAGCGAACCAACGAACGATCGGTTCATGTGTGAAAATTGCTGAATCCAAAAGAGACACGGACACGGATACGCAGCCATGTTGTTTCATAATTATAACTTAAATACGACAGTTTCATATAAAAATCAACTAGTAAATCAACGTAAGCTCGCCTGGCAATTAACTGGCTAGAAACGTAACACACGATGCCTGGTGGATCGGTGATGGTGGTGGTGCCTTCTGGTGGTGCTTGGCCAAGCACGTCGCTAAGTTAAGCCCCGGAATCGGACTTGTAGCCAACTTGAGCAGCGCTGCCCAAGCCAGCCAACCGAACTGTCAATTATAACCAATCGCACACCAAGTGCACATTAAACCCTATCAACTGTTTTTGTAATTTATTGTTCGCCTGGGTTTTTCTCTCACTCCGCCGGCCGCGTCTGCTTCTCATTTCTAAAGTTGCAAGTTTTGCAGTCGCATTTGGTGCGAGATCCGCATTGCACATTGCACACATACACAGCACATGCTGGGACAGTGGGCTCTGCACAGTGGGCTGAAAGAGATTAAAGGATTGCAAAAGTTGCCAAATTTAAGGGGAAATAACTTGGGAATATACTTTTGTCTTGCTAAAGAAATGATAATATATCATCAAACTATAAGCTGGATTATGAATTTTTATGAATTGCAAAGGACTAAGCTTACTATTTGAAGTTCAAAGAGCACTAAGGGATGATTCTCCCAAGCACTTTGTAAGTTGTAAGTCTAGTTTCGTATTCATCCCAGTTTAGCTTTAACTAATTTATAACTAATTAATGAAAGCAATTAAGTCATCTTTAGTTCCCCATTTAAATCTGTAAAATCCCTTAACCCAATCACTTTTCACCACTGTTCCCTCTCTCTCTCTCCGGCGATGACTGCTTGGCTTTCTTAGCTTGGTCTGGGGACGATCTGGCCTCATCATAATTATCGCCGACTGCGACTGGGGCGGCACGTTCGACTACGCACACTACTAACAGAGGGGCGGCGAACGGAGGTTGGGTATGGTTTTGGAGGTAGGGTGGAGATGGGGGTTACCGGCTGCTCAACGTAAATCTAGCTAAGTCAAATGAGCAGTTTATGGCCACAGCGACGACGACCATTTGAAGACGCGCCAAAGGAGCCCGAGATGGAGGAGCCTGTCTATATAGCATCGCATCGCATTGGATAGCATCACATCCCATCGCATCGCATCGGATCGGATCTGCCGGGTGCCACTTGGGGGCAACATTCACTTTTTTTATTGCACCACTTTGGCAATAGGCACAAGTGTGATTTCAAATCTCTGGGTCGCCTGGTGTTTGGTGTTTTGGAGCTTTGCTGTTTGTGGCCTGTAGCCTGTTGCCTGTTGCCTCTTGCCTGATGCCTGTTGCCTATTGCCTGTTCCCTGTGTTGCCAAAGCCAAATTGGCAGAAATATGAAGTCAGCGTGTGCATTTCGGTAAAAGCGGTGATTACACACACACACACACATTCAAACATTTGGATATATACTCGCAGTTGGACAGGAGGAGAATGGCCATTTGGGAGACGAGAAATATATGACAGCCGGAGAGTTGCCACATAATGCGCATTAGCATACGCCACTGTAGCATCCAGCATCCAGTTCCCTTCTCTCCAAGATCTTCTCAGCTGCTGGTGCTGCTGCTGCTGCTGCTGCTGTACTTCCCTTTCCAGCAGTTGCAAATGGGGCAAAGCGGAAAAGACACAGAAACAGCAAAAGCAACAGCAAAGCTACAGAAAAGCTACAGAAAAGCAACAACAAAGCAAAAGCAACAGCAACAGCAAACAGCACTGTGGGCTGACGTTGATGGCCAGTTCAATTAAATGCCATCAATTTTAATAACGCGCCTGCCTGGGCTAACGGACCTCAACCCGGGGCTTACTTTACCTGCCTCCCTCGAAAACTACAGTCTAACTTCGGCAACTAACACGGCCCTATGTCGAGGCTTAGGGAAAATGAATTGTAAAGAGAGTTCATTTATAATGGATATAGTATCTGAACAGAAAGATCATCATCAACATACAAAATCATCAAATATTCCCAAAGAGTAGGCTTCTAATAGACTTTACCACTTTTAAAACTTCCTTAAATACTTTACAACTTAATGAGTTAAGTACTTTAAGGTATATGCATAACATGTTTATATCTTTTATTATAATCAATCTGATTTACTAGCCTGTTAGCTATCGGTAAGAAATATCCTTCAGGCAACACACTAAAAATAACTTTAAAATGATTTTATTGGCTTGATAACAGTAAGAGATTTTCAGGAATAGGATTACTTTAACTAAGTACAGAAAGTATATAACAACCCTTCCCTTAATTAAAAAGATCTTGAAAAGGAATTAAGTACATAGTAGTTAGAGTTTTCACTTAAGCAAGTCCTACTGTAGGTCTGCTACCTTGGGCACTATAACCCGGTGCTGGTGAAACAAAACGCTCGCTGGCATGGAAATTACAAATGCATCAAGCCAGGGCACACATGTGTAGACAGTCGCAAACGCACTTGAGGCACTTGAGGCTAAGAAACCAGCGGACCAACAGACTAGCGGACCCCATTCTCTGCTTGGCCGGTCAGTTTGAGCCCGGTTCGGATGGTCTGGTTGCTGGCTGGCCGCCATGTGGCCCTCGGTCATGTGGAGTTTGCAGGCTTGACAAAGCACTTAAGCCCGGGTCACTTGTACAGTTCGCCTCGATCCCCTTTCGCTAGCCTTTTGTTTTCCTCTCTGACAAACGAGTTGCAACGCCAAGAAGAGTGAAAATTGAATGTGCTTAGCAGGCCAAAAAAAAAAATGAAAAACTAAAAGAAAATAGTGGGGTGGCTTGGGGGTAACGGGAATAAATGTTAAATACTTTTTCAACATGGATTTCGGTTTGTCAAAATTTGGGTTTATGGCTTTAGGCAAGCTTTAGTGCTGTTTTAGGAAAGCATCTTATGTTGAAAGGTTAACATCAATTTTACAATCAATTACATCTCCTTTTTGTAGCAGCTAACTAAGATTTATCTAATGGTTTCAGTTTAACTACTTAAACCTACTTTAAATTGGTTTCTCTCAAAGGATCTTTTAGAAGTTAACATAGTTTTACAGATCTTAAGTCTTTGTTCTATGAATTCTTCACCCAAGAACCGAAGTGGCCAAGTGGAGTGGCTAGCCTGGGCAAACTTCTCAGTGGAGCACCCTTCAAAATGCGGGGCAGGTGGGGCACTTTGGCGACCAGAAGCAGCAGCAGCGGCAGCTGCAGTTTGGCTGGCAATTGATGTTGATGTCGCGGGCGCCAAAATCGACACACTTGTCCCAACTGCAACTGCAACTTGAACTGCAAATGCAACTGCAACTGGCAGCCGAAAGTGGCAGTCGTCGTCGTCGTCGTCGTAGTAGTCGTCTGGAGCACAGAGTACAGGTTAAATGGATCACGACTGCACGGATTCGCTGTCCGTCTGAGTTGGAATCCGCGTCTTGGAGTCTTCGGCTCTTGGAGCCTCCGTCCGTCTGTCTGGGCTGTCTGCCGGCCATAAAATACGCGACATGCAAACGTTTTTGATGCAATGAGGCGGTCGAACGAAATTAGGAAATTGTGTAAAGACTTTGGACTGACAAGCCAAAGTTTTCCCGGCTGAATGATTCCCTGGTATTGAATGGGATATATGTTTTATAAATATTACAGATTTATCTTCTTATTCAAGTTTTTTTTGGGTAGGGGTACTCGTTTATAACAATCTATATCGATTTGATAAGCTTAAATTGACATCTAATGGGTTATCTCATTATTCTGCTCATAATCCTGACCTTTTAATGGTTTAAAATGCTTTTTAATATCAAGTTTAATCACGTTCTAAACATTTTACATATATATTATTATAGTTTGATAAATGTATCTTAGTTTATACAGCCAGGGTATCCCAAGCTTCGACATATCGGACATGCCATGTCTTTTGGCTGATAGTTGGGTAGTAAGGCTCAGTTTGCGGTTCATTTACGAGGCTCATTAGGCATTGGCGGCCATAAAGTGGCCGCACCATTTTGGCCATTTTGTTAACCGAATCTCGATAGGTTTTCTCAACCGTTCTACCCCTTCTCTTCCACCCCTCTTACAGCGAGCACTTCACATGGAAGCAGCAGCAGCGGCGGCTCTAACAGCTGTAAATCTTCGTCGGCCACCAAGGCAGTTGGCTATAGCAATGGCAAGCAGAGCGGATCCTCCGGCTCGTCCTCGTCCTCCGGCTTTGGAGCGGGCTCAGCTGGATCCTCATCGTTGGGGGCCTTCTCCCGCCAGCAGCAACATCAGCAGCAGCATCATCATCAGTCGACGCAACAGCAGCAGCAGCAGCAACAACAACTTTATGCCTCCGGTGTGTCCAAGTTGCCATTTTCGCCGTTCTTCGCGGCCTCGCCATTCTTTTTCACCTATCGACGGATCAGCGGCAGCGGTGGCAGCGTCAAGCAGGAGGATAACAACAACAGCTGCAGCTACAACAACGGCAGTAACAGCGGTAGCAGCGGCGCAGGTTCGGCGGCAAATAGCATGCAGGACTACGACCGCAAGTTCTCGCTGCTGAGCCTGTTCAAGAATCCCTACAAGTTCGGAGCAGATGGTCAGGCCACGAGGAAGTCCTCGCCCACTGGCAGCTCCAGCAAGTCCCTGGCCTCGGGCTGCTCCAGCTCCTCGCCGAGTTGGAAAAGCTATGCCGGTTCGGGCTCACCACATGCCGCCCTGAATCCCGCCTTCGGGGGCATGGCTCTCGGGGCAACTCGCAAGGATAGCAGCAGTTTTAGTGGGATTAACTTTGGGGGCGGCGGCTCCGCCTTCGGACGCTCCTCATCCGATTCGACGGCCAACGGCTACAATGATCTCTCCAAGAACCGCAAGGTACATAAGTGCGACACCGAAGGATGCGACAAGGTGTACACGAAGAGCTCGCACCTGAAGGCGCACAAAAGGACGCATACAGGTGTGTTTAAGGGATTCATTTTAAACTAACTAACTAATCTAACTTGCTAACCCAAACCCTAATCTCCTGCAGGTGAGAAGCCTTACGTGTGCACGTGGGAGGGCTGCATCTGGCGCTTCGCCCGATCGGATGAGCTGACCAGGCACTACCGTAAGCACACGGGAGTGAAGCCCTTCCGGTGCCAGCTGTGCACCCGCAGCTTTAGCCGCTCGGACCACCTGTCGCTGCACATGCGCCGGCACTGAGGACATGGAACTGCCGAACTGGCCATAAATACTCGAACTCCAACTCGTACTCATTCCCGAGAATACTCATCTGAGATGCTGCGGGGAAGCAGCTCTTGATTATTTATACGCACTCGAATCACTTCCATTGATCATTTACTGAGACCAGATATTCCATATCGCCTAAGTAGCTCAATTTCGATGTTTAAGATGGCTCAAAGCCCAACTTAGCTGTAGTTTAAGTTTAGTTAATTAGGGCGGAAAGATTTGTAAAATTTTTCACATTTTAAGCCCAGAGACAATTGCCTTCAGAAGCCAAGTTAACAAAGTGGATTTACACCTACTACATATAGAAATATCTGCATAGTTAAATCTACATATACGGATATATATTTTTAGAGATAGTTTTTGGATTGGTGCTAGCAACTTGCGTGTACATAGATCTAGATAAACATTTACAGCCTAGTTCGGTAAGAAGAAATTTAACTAATTTTAGATCAAATTTTTATTGGTTATTAAGTAGAAAATTTTATACAACAAAAAGACGAACTACGAATGAGGCAACACAACCGGAAGAGCCAAGCAATATTTATATATATTTAGTATATATATAGAAATCTTAAACATTTTGTACTATACGCATATGATGTGATGGTTGATGAGGACTTTGAGCAGTAGGAGATCGGTAAGGGAAGTGCTTAGTACCTTATATTGAGATTGTAAAGGTTTACGACATATATTAACATATCATTCAATCTAAATTAATCTGTAACTCAAAGTTTTCTTTAATTCTTAACAATTTTTAAATACGGAGACTACTTTGAGCCTTCCAATCTTCAGTTTTTAGAAACAGAACACTTTAAAAATTACGAAACAAAATCATTAAAATACCGTAGCAGAAGTACTCCACCCATAAACCGCCTTATAGCTCTGCAACGCACTGTACTCCCTGGCGATCCCCGAAAGCAATTTGCCCTCTCATGCCAACTGTCATCATAGATTTTAGCACACTCACAGACCAACTTACATACAAAAGCAAAACAAATTGTATTATTTTTTGAGAAATAAAAGAAAAGCGAATACTTTTTTTGTACCAAACGAAGCCCTGGCCGTGCTCATTACGGGATCGGGCTGGTCGGATGGCCATGTCCTAGTCCTAGTCCGAATCCCAAGCCAAATCCGCAGAGCATTTTCATTTGAATGAAAAATCAATTGGCGCACAATGGGGCTGCGGTTAACCCACAAGTGTGCCCCTGGGTTCCCTCTTGATCCCCCGCCCCCTACCTACCTAGATAGCTACTCCAACGAAAGAGATGTGTGGCAAGTTGTCAGCGAGTGCCGGCCGCCTTTTGCTTTGGCTTTGCTTTTGTGGCACGGCATGGCACGCACTCCCCGCCAATTGCAATTGTCCAGGGGAGCATTGTCGTCGTTTGTCGTTTTGCAACTTTGCAACGTACAATGTACGACGTACAACCGCGCGTTGTTTGCAATAATAAAGATGACAAATTTCTCGTCATTTGTAATTTCAATGCGAAAAGCCAGAGCTTTGGAGTTTGGATGTTGGAAGGTGGAGGCTGAATGTTGGATCTTTGGGCCTGGCTAATACGCATAACTGGTTGGCTAGAGATGGCTGGGATTGGATGACACCTGCAGCGGAAATCAGTGCATGAATAACGCTCTCGGTCATTAAGGCACAATTGTGAAATATTACGCATACGCCATGGCAATTTATTGGTAAATTAATAACCGAATACAAGGCAGCACACCGACCACAGTAGCGACTACTATACGCAGCTACTGCGCTTGGCGTTGGTAGTGTTGCCGTCACCGCGTTTAGCATAAAGGTTAGACAAATATAACAGACCGGTTTTTTGGGTTAATTAAAATGCCTTGGGTCAGGTCAATATTGCGGCGAGGAGGAGGATCGGATGGCTGGTGAGGTCAGGTTTAATGACCCAAACGCATATGCAAATGAGTAAAAGTAAATAAAGTGAGAAGGTGCCTTAATTAACACTGATCGACGCCACGGATGCCCTGGAGCTGCCATTAGGCAATTCCTTTGTCTCGAAGCGGGAATTTACCCATGGGAAAAAGGGTAATGATACCAAATCGATTTCGATTGGAAATCGGGTAAGTAATTGTCGGGATATATAAAATATTATAGTTCGTACTTTCATATTTATGTTGTGCAACATTCACGTTTAACATTCCAATTATAAAATACAGTCGGACAGCACTGAAATGTATTTAATTGTTAATTTATTCCGTAATAAACTATAAGATATCATAAAAACTATCGTTCGGCAATATTTTATGAGTCATAATCCGTGGTTTCGTTATATCGCAAATACCCCGTGCCACCCAGTGGACAAATATCAACTGAATACATTTAGATAAGCATTGAAATCACAGCGCTGCTCATTAAAAACCAATAAAGTCGCCTTGCAATGCACCCAGCCGACGCTGTCCATCAGTCTGGGGAGGATGAGGAGGTGGAAGTGGATGGGCCACATCTGGGAGCGGGATCTACATACGAGTATGTGTGGCTCAGCCTGTCGGCAGCTGTCCATCAGACAAAAAGCGCTCCAATAACCAAATCGACCGGCCAGCAATTGAAGGAGTCTCGTATTGATGGGGATTTTCAGTTTGCCGTTTGGATCTTTTGCAGGTTTTTGAAGTTGGCTAAGCATCCATATCCACATCCACCTTTGCACTGAGAAAAATTAAGTTTTAAATAGATAAAAATATAAATAAATAGTGATTAATATTACTAAAATGTATTAAAAGGCTGGTTCTTAATATTTATCTTCGTAAATTTCTTATTAGGAAAATCTTTAAAAAATCAAGAAAAATTATTTCCTCTGCAGCGAGCCATCGACATCCATTTTTAATTTATTGTTATGCCTTTCTGCTGCCTTTTGGCTGCTGCAGATGCAGTTTGGAGTGGCAGGAGGAGATGGAGATGGAGATGGAGCAGGAGCCAGAGCCGGAGCAGAGCAGAGCAGAGCAGTCGATGTTTGGAGCTGCTGGTCGTCAGGTCATGTGCAATTTATGAAACGGCTTTGCATTGGCCGCGGCCTGATTTTTGAGACACATTTGGATTTGGATGACTGTCGCAACGGCGGCAACTGCGGGCTGCTGCTGCTGCTGCTGCTGCTGCTGCTGCTTCTGTCCGTTTGATTTGTGATCGATTGTGTGTCGTTAGTTTGCGACATGGGGCATGAAATCTTTGACACCTAACGGTAAACGAACGGGCCGGCGAGACCTCGGATCACAGCAGTGGGTGCCCCCCTTTTTAAAGGCCCCTTTATCCCCGGCATTAAATTGGAACGATGATGCCGGGGCAGCAGTTGTCAGTTGGCCAAAGTGTTTGGCAGTTTTGCCATTTATTTTACAGGTGAGTGAGCATAATGGACAGTTGCCCGTCGCAGCAGTTGCAAGTTGCCGGTTGCCAGTTGCCAGTTTGCCAGTTGCTTATACCCAATTGCCGATTGCCGGTTGGCGGTGGTACATGCTGTGCGCTTTGGCTCAATTAAAAATGGAATCGTCTGGAGGAGGTCGCCTCATTTGACAATTGCCCGGTTCCCAAATACAGGCAAATAACCGTTTGTGCCCGTCTTCGCTTGGCCTTACATCCCGCCCGCCCCCTTCTAACTCTCTTTCTTGCGTACTTTCTTAGCAAGATATCGGCTTCTATCTGGCTGTCGCTCGCAGTCCCATGTTTAATTTTGTTAAGCAAAAATGCTGGAAATTAAAATTCCCATCACACCATAAAACCCATAAATCATCTTTTATCTAAGCGAGTCTATCGGCGCATGTGAGCGCGCGCCAACTTCGGTTCGGGTTCGTTCAGGAAAAACAGCAGAAAACCCCAAGCGAACGTGGCTATAAGGTATGGATGTGTATGGGTGAGATGCTGCCTGGACGCGATTGGGAACCTGCTCGGACCTCTCCTGCCTTAATGAGAATTTAATATTTTTCAATAAAAATTTGTAAAAGGCGCGTTAGCTGCTTGTCCAGCCTGTGAAGGCTTCCCTCTCTCTCTTTCTCTCTTACGCCGAAAACCCCGATTCGGTTGGGGGCGGTGAGGCAGTGGGGCCGTGGGGTGGTGCACATTTGCCATGTGTGTCTTGGCTATTAACGCACTTTTGTTTGTGGGTATCGGCCAGTGGGTATTGGGTAGTGGGCATTGGCCATGGCCTGGCTAAGACCATGCCGCGAGTGAATCTCTGGCCCGAAACGTTGATTGCCGGCAGATGCGAAGGTAGAGGCTGAGGCAGAGGCAGTGGCAGAGGCGTCGGCTGCTGGAAGGGGGCGGTGTATGAGAGGGGTCTTCAAGGTGGTTCTAACTACTTTTATGATCCTGTACAAGCCATGTTGTAATTGCGGGTATTATGTTAATATTTATTGTTTGTATTGCAGTCACTGAAAGGGGGTTTCGTTTTATAAGGTGGTGATATATGGATCCTAAAAACAACCTGTCTTAGATTATTAATGCATTTCTAATGAACCAGATTGATAATATTTTATGGTCCAATAATAGTTAATGGCTAATACAAGTAACCAGAATAATATATTGATATTATCTCGCATGTAAGGTATTAACATTAAGAGCCCACAGATTAAGTTTAGTTTTTATGTTAACTATTTGTGGACGTTTTAAGGAGTTCTTACTTTCAGGACTAGCTACTGGATTGGGTGGTTAACTTCCTATGAATCAGTATTCTATAACTTGTTTATGTTTTTAAAAAGAATTACTTAGCTTATTCTAATGCTAATCTTTATCATTCTTCTTTAAAAATGGTTGTTAGTTTACTTTAAGTTAAGGTAAGACTTCAAGACTCTTTATACCTTAATAATTCATCATGTTTCTAGTAACCCCTTCTCAACTCAATAACATCAGCCCCTGGTTGATATCAAGTCTTTCTTTTGTTTACTTTATGGAATCGTTGTTTGGCTTTTTTGTATCCTTGCCCCAGACCTTAAAGCCATACCAGTCCCATTTTGCCAAGTAGATCCTAGATCTTTGTTTATGTGCCTCCTTGCCTGGTTGCACTCCCAATCCCAGTTTATATACCCCCGCCCAAGGCAGTGTCCCTGCCCCATTGTGAGGCACACATTGAATACGAAATTGGCTGCTGAAGTTCGACTGGGAATGGGCTAGCGTTTAGGCCAGGAGCGGCAGCAAGGGTTTCGAAATGCGGGACTCGGCCAAGAGTGTCAATTGTCAGTGGCTGTCGCCGTTTAGCCGTCTTGGCTTTGGCTGGGTCGAGGCCTTCTGGGCCGCAAAGGTCTGCCACTGCATAGGTAGAAGTGGGCTTAAAAACCCAGCCCATCGTTGGCGGCGCGTGCAGACTGTGAGCCTGTTTTAATATGCCAACAATGACAATCAGCTGTCACCTCTGGTGCGCCATGTGTCTAGAGTCTAGAGTCTAGACGCCAGACCGCGGTCCCAACTGCGGGCCAAAAGAAATTGCATGCAACAAGCGACTGAGCGATTGTGGCAACAGCAACAGCAACAGCAACATCAGCACTGGGCTGCCAGCAACAACAAATAAATATGTCATTTGGCTCATTATAAAGATAGCAAAAGTCTCTTTCTCCCTGTACAGAACTGAGCTTGCAACTTGCAGCTAACAACACTGGCAACGTGCAGCATACAGCATACAGCATGCGGCATGCCCCCAGAGCTGCTGCGTCACATTTAAACGTTTAATGATAATTTATGAATGTTGTTGTTTTTTATTGCAACAACAATGCCGTAAACCAATAAATCTTAAGGATCACATAAATCTTGGCGCTAACTGAGACGGCGACTGCAGCGCCAGCCACATCAACATCAACAGCAGCAGCCGCAGCAGTAACGTCCGCAAAACAGAGCAACTTCCACTCACAACTTGCCACAAGTCGCGGAGAACCATTGACCAATTGGCCAAAACCGATATACCCTAATAACCGAAACGCACTCGCAATTAACACGGCCATTCAGGAAGTAAAAGTTCGGCGAATTGGTTCCTTCCTTCGGCCAAAAGGTGCGGGATACAAATTAAAATTTACAGGTGCAAATGCTGCGAGGGGGGCAAGTTGTTGGTATGTTGAAAGATCACGTTGGGGTGATCATTTTAGGGGAACTCTGGTGGGAAAGA